GGCACGTTAGCAGAATGAGGAGAAACCTCAGTATAGTTTTGGAGTGCAGCAAATGGCACTTCCCTGGGAATCCATTTCCTGGGGTTTAGAAATACAGCTCTTCCTGTGGCAGGCCCATCCTTGGATGGATTACATCCACACAGAGACAGTGCTGGTTTATTCAGATGCTAGCAGTGCCTGAGGCTATGCTCTGGGCAGAATGCCACAGGGCTTTATGACATGTTTCCCTTTCTAAAAAACTGGCTCCTTAATAGACACTGAGAACATAACAAAGGGACAAGAGGAGCTGTCAGTAAAGCAGATGTCCTGACTTTTTCAGCCTTGCTGTCAGCTACACTTACCCACTGGAGTTTCAAAACACTTTGAAAATATTATGAGATCAAACACTGCTAAACCATATGAGCAACTTCCTCCCAGGGACTGTCTGACTTGCCCAATCCAACAGTTGTATTGACAGAGCAGAAGGAAAGATGAGTCCTAGGGACCAGTTTTCTGCAGGGTGATTCAAGCAGTCCTTCAGGGATTGCTTCAGATGTCTGTAGCCATTTCCATCCTCAGCCATCCACCTTGTTTTTCTCTTAGGTGCTTCTGTCCTCCTATGGGGCACCAGGAGATGCAACAGGAGATGAACACCTTTAGTTTGTTGCTCAGTGAATTAAGTCAACCCAAAATTGATGTTGGGTTACTTTAAGACCATCCTGTCCAACCTTTAACCCAGCACTGCCAGGTCACCACTGAACCATGTCCCTCAGCACCACATCTCCATGGCTTTTAAATGCCTCCAGGGATGGGGACTCCACCACTGCCCTGGGCAGCCTGGGCCAGGCCTGGACAACCCTTTCAGGGAAGAGTTTTTTTTACCTAATATCCAATCTAAACCTCCCCTGGTGCAACTTGAGGCACCTCTCATCCTATCACTTGGTACATGGGAGAACAGAACCACCCCCCACCTCTCTACAACCTCCTTTCAGGTAGTTGTAAAGAGAGAGAAGGTCTCCCCTGAGCCTCCTTTTCCCCAGGCTCAACAACCTCAGTTCCCTCAGCTGTTTCTCCTAAGACTCTTGCTCTAGGTAGGCAAAGAAAGGTAGGGCAGAGAGGTTTTCTCACCACACCCTTAACCCAGACCCCAGGGAGGCAGCAAAACTCCCAAGAAATGGGTCTGGTCTGCACATTGGACCTTCTATTGCCTTCAGAAGGGAGTTTTCTATAACAATGACCCCTCTCTTTTCCTTTGTGGAAAGAAGATGCATTTCTCCCATAGCAGGACAAGGCAGGGGGTATGGGGGTGTTTAAGCTTTCACCCCATCTTAAATATCAGCCAGTCAGCCTGTTAAGGGTGAGGGCATCCCTAAGAACAACCCAAACCACAGCTCCATGGAGTGAAGAAGGCTGGAAGGGGATTCTATCAGCCCTAGGGGAAGAAAAGCTGTATCCAGAGGCCAGGCAGAAGAGAGTAAGGGCAGCCCCAGCAACTTCAAAGGCTGCAGCAAGGAGGGAGTTCCTACAGCTTGGTGAGTTGGATTAGACCCCTCATTAGGATGCAGAACAAACCTCTTCTCCTTGGCAGGCAAGAGTGAGAAACAGAATAAAAATGGAAATCAGATCTGAGCCCTGAATTCCCCATTCAGCCCCAGTTCCTCCTGTTTGCCTAGGAGCTCCAGCTTGCCTGGCTTTGTCTGAAAGAAAGGTAACAGGAAATTTCAGGGCAGGATGAGGTTAAGGGCTCTTGCTTTGGGGCCAGCAAGCCCTGGGAGGACTCTGGTGTCAGAACACCCCGTCCTAGGAGGACAAGCAGTGGGGGAGAACATTTGCCACAGGGTACCAGCAACACCACTGCTCTAGAGCTGCATCTTCAGCAGGCAGACTCCACACTGGGGCTTTGGAAAAGACCTTTCTTAGGCTGAACTGAGCAAGGAGCTGTCATGCTGCACAGAGTCATTGTCTGATACTTGAGTGGATGCTTTTTAGCTTGCAGAGCACCAGGAGGAGGCCACTCCTCAGTTTGGTACTTTTTCCCCTTTTTGAGGAAGTTGCTGCTTTGTTTCAGGGTATTGCAGGCTAAGAGAACAAGAGGATTTGGATTTGGGGGCTTTTAAATGACTCTGATGGAAGAATTATTGGCATTTAAATCCACAGAAGAGGCTGAGTTTGGCCTCAGCCATGTCAGCATGGCTAAGGGGGCACTGGGAGCTCTACTGCAAAGTCAGTTTAAGGTCAGAAAGAAGCCCAAGGACTTAAAATTGGAATTAGTTTTCTCTACTTACTGTATCATCCTAATAAAGCATGTTCATGTGTAAGAAGATGTTGCTTGCTGGTCTCCAGGACTTGTCTTTGTTGTGTTTTAGGGCAGCAGAAAGAAGGAAAGATCTCACTCTGTTGGTTACCATTAGTTTTACCAATTTTGTATAGATTTCTATTTTTTAACAGCCCCTGGAGTGAAATCAGACATATTTAGGTAAAAGATTTCTTGCCCTGAAAAAGCACTGATTGAAGTATTAACAGCTACTAGAAAGCTACATGCCTGCATTTCACTTCATGGGGTTGAAGCCTTTTTGTATGAGCCCCTCAAATTGTGTTTACAAATTCGTTTTAGATTTGTTTAAAAAGACAATTTTTGTTTAAAAAGACAAATTTCTCTCACTATTTCTTGGCTGCTGAAAGAGAAAAGAGTCTGCTAATTATAAACAACCTGTGCCTTTAGTTCTTTTATTAATATTGCAAAATGCAACTGGTAGAGCAATTAGGGTTGAATATTACTCCAGGAAAGCAGCTTGACTAATGTGGATCATCCTGTTAAATAGATGGAATTTATTTTAGAAAAAATAGGTTCCTTGTGGTTTATCTCATTAAGGTTAATCCAGTAATTCTAATAATGATTCCCCCATATCTTTAAAACAAATCTTGATAACAGACAAAAAGACACAAGTGCATTGGGATGGTGAGAGGTTTAGAAGATTTCTGATTCTGTCAAGAAATACCTGTTGCTGAATTTGTTTAATTTGGCCTTAATTTCTTTCTCAGTGAGATAATCCCACAGTCTCCATTCCATGGACTTCTTTAAAAGCTTTGTGTTTCTCTGGGTACTTTCTGTTGCACTGCTTCAAATCTTCTCCATGCACTTAACATGAAGGGGCTCTAAATTTTCTTCTTTCTGATACCTGTTTTTCATCAACAAATCCATTGACTTTGGTGGGATTGCACTTGACTTGCTCCAAGGAAACCAGACTGAAAGAATCAGCCTCACAGCATCCAAAGTCATCTTCAGTATTCCAAAAATGACCCTTTGGTGATTGTTTTCTGAAGAAATGAATTTATTTCCCTCAGCTTCACCTCACAAGACAGCACTGCTGCTCCAAGACCTAACAAACTGAAAGATTCTGAGCATGACATGATCTCCCTTTAACATTTAAACTGCAATGCTGTTCAGGAAACTACATGACTAATTTAAAAAGAATTACAGCCACAGATAGTTTTTTTTTTCCATTTCTTCCTTTCACCCTTCAGAAACAAATCAAACTTTAATTTTCTGCCTTTCTCCCCATATGCTGGAAAATACTTAGGATGTGTTTTGGCAAAAGTGAAGGAAATAGCTTAAGAAAAAGCTTCTTTAAAGCCAGAAAGAAGAGAGATTTGCCATGTTTCCCCACTGTGAGGTTTGCTATTTATACACAAGAAGAAAAAAAAGCCAACCTGTATCTGTGCTATGGAAGATAGCAATATAGGTGCTGGAAAAACTATTTCCCAGAATAAGTAAGAGGCAAAGATGCAGCTGCAAACATCATAAAGCAACATCATTTTATCCACCTAAACCCTTCTGTCACAAATCAAACTACAGGATTCCTTCCCAGTTACAAAAATCTTACTGTATAGATTTTTCAAATGACTCCTCCCTTTTATTCTGTTGCTACCTCTACCCTTCATTGTTTGCTCTAAGACAGAAGTCTCATCCTATTGTTTTTGGCCACTTCTTCTGTTGTTTGCTCTGTGTGCTGCACGGCTGAAGTTTCTACACTGCAATTACAAAAGAAAACTAGTATAAGAATGAGCTTCATCTCTTGCCTCGACTGTAGTGTTGAGCCTGCCAAAACTAGGGTTGAGGTTTGCTGGAAATTTAATTAAATGGAAATTTAGGTTGGTTCTGAACCAGACAGGAATCTTTTCTGTTTTTTAACTCTCTCCTCAAGGCAGGACCAGAACTAATTGCACTAGAGAAGCTGCAAAGAGCTCAGGAGTTTCTAGTCCCTAAATGACCTGCTAAAAAAACTCCTCCCAGGAAAGAGGCTGCTGGCAGAAGAGGTCTGGAACCCCCAACCTTCAGCAGCCCCTCCCCTCTCCCAGTGCAACAGGAATCTGTGCAGTCTGGCAGCCTGGGGCATGTTGTTCCCCAAAACTTTTCCAGGCTTATAGAAAATACAAAGCTACCTCTCCTCTGATCCACGTGAGGCGGTACCAGGTCAGCATGATTTAACTCCCCTGGTGAAGTAAAAGCAATTCCAGGAGAAAAAATCCACTCCTGACAATGGCACCCGTGGGTGGAAGTTTCTGAAACAGTGAGGGTGGTGTATATTGGCTGTTGTGACATAGAATTGGAAGCTCTGGAGGCAGACAAGACGTTGTGTGCCTTCAGGGCAGAGTCATGCCACAGCAGGGCACAGTGAGCCGTGATTTCTGCCTTGGGTCAGGAGTGATCCCAAGGGGATTTCACCAGTACCTCTGAAATGCTCCAGGGTCAGCAGGAGCTCTACCTCAGGGACTTCAAATATTGCACAATTCAGCTAGCAGAGGTGACATAGTCCTTACCACAATCCTTACTCCTCCCTGTTCTTTCAAGCCCTGTTGGAGGAAGACATTCTGCTCGAGCACGAGGAGTTAAATCCCCAGAACAGACAATCGATTTGAAGGGAGCTAATCTACATATCAATGACACTCCCAACCCTGGATGGGCTGCAGCAGTGGCAGCCCTGGAGGCTGCTCACACCCCCCCCAGTGCCTGTACTCACAGTTCTCACAGCGGCTCCCCGTGTAGCCAGCCAGACAGGCACATCTGTAGGTGCCACTCTGGTCCAGAATGCACGTTCCATCGTGAAGGCATGGGGATGAAGAACAAGCTATAGAAGAAAAGCAAGAAGATTTATGGTCTCTCAAAAGATGGAGGTCCTAGCTAGTTTTCCTCATGATGGTTGTGTCTTGTAAAGTACATTTCTCCTGCCATTCAGGGGGGGAAGTTTGGGATCCAAGGTTCTGGGAGGTTTTTTGGGTCTGGGACTTGTCATCATCCCAGACTTTGGGAGTTGCTTTGCCCCTGAGAAACACTTCTTTGGTGCTGGGTGAAGGAATCTCTGAGGTGATGATGAGCCTAAGCCTGCTGGAGAAGCTCTTGCACACCACAAATGTAGCAGTGGTTCACATCAAACTGTACATATTAGCATCAATTAATATCAGAATGTGAAACTGCACCATTTAATATCACCAAATTCTGCTGTGCAAGAACACACACACACTGGGTTTTTTTTTTTTGTGCCTGCTCTAAGGGGAGATGAGTGACTAGAACATAATTTACTCAAAAAAAATAGACAAATCATTTCCATTTAGATGATTTTCCAAACTGTGATTTCTAGCAGACAGAAAGTAGAGCCAAAATCTCAAGATTTAGATCCACTTGAAGAGTCAAGTATCTCCAACACCTGAGGAGTTCAGGATCTGATGCCCTGCTTCAAGTCCACCTTAACAGAACTGTTGCAGCCCAGAATGAGACACATCAGAATCAGCAGTTTGCCCTGCAAAAGCTCCACTTGAAGCATAATCTTTTGAGTGTTTCATATCCAGAGGGTAAGAGAAATATATAGATAGCACATATGGATTTCTCTGGAGGCTTCATGTGGTGAGGTAACAGCAGTTCACATGGGGCTGGGCAAGGGATGTCTTCCAAGTCTTATGGAAGACTCAGGTCTAAGGACAGGAATTCATTTGTTAAAAGCAACAAATATAAATGTACAGTATCCTACAAATGGCAAATATCCCTGAGGAAGGGAAGGAGAAGCAGAGGAGCCTGTACAGCCTGGTGGTTTGAAGGTTTGAAAGCAGTGAACGTTCAGCTTTGGGGTACAGAAAGTGAAGGGGGATTGAAATTCCACAGCAGGCTTTCATCTGAGGAGATCCAGCCTATGTCTAATCCCTAAGAGATGCTGTTGCCTCCCCACCTGGCCACCCCACCCTTCTCATCTGAAGTCTCTTGAGTGAATTCTAGTCACTCATGCCAATTACTGCTTCCCATTTGACACTTGGCATGGGGTAGGACCTGCACCCCCTTCCAGACCTGGCAGCACAGCAGGCCCTGTGGCTTCTCAGCCTTGAACAAATGCACATGCAGTGACCTTTCCTCAATGAGACACAGGCTTTGCAGTTTATTTGGTATCAATAAAACCTTTCTGGCCGTTGATTTGGTGACCTCTGTGCAGCCAGTGCCACCACTTCAGTGAGCTATGACTTCCACAAGCCAGCACAGGGCTCAGACTCCAGTTCTGACAGCCCAGGAGGCTTCTTTAGTCCTCTCTGTTACACCAGCATGGTGCTGGGGACATCACATCACCTCCATGGCCTGCCCCACAGCCTGCAAGCCCAAGTGCTGCTGCTGCTGTCACCTGCAGCACAGGGGATTGCTCCAGCAAACCCTGTGCAACCTGTTCTGGGGACCTCATCTTCCTTCTCCACGGTGCACAGAGGGAAATTTCAGGAGAAATGCTTCAGCTTGCAGTGTGCTGCCAGAGCTTTCCATCCTGTGCTGCCCCAGCTTTCAATCCCCCCCTGCCCCATGCAGGCTGTGTTCTTCTCCCCAACTGTCCTGCTGGCCAGGTTAATGCCTCACACAAAAAGACACGGGTAGGGTTTTTTTTTTCAAAGCCTTTCCCTGCAGCTGCACCTCAGACCAGCACAGCCTCCTAATGAAGGGCACACAATAAAAGCTCCTGACCAACTCTGAGGAGCCCTTTGCAACGTGCCCTGTGTGGATTACCACACTCCCAAGCCACCCAGCCTCAGAATAATTACCCCTAAAAACGAGGAGGAAACGAGGCTCTCCACAGGACTGGAATACCAAGTGCTCCCTGCTGGGCAGAGAAAACAGAATCCATTCAGCCTGCACCATATGGAAAATGTTAGTTCCCCCAGTGTAGGCAGCCCTTATGCAACCTAGCCCACACCACATCCATTTGTTCTGTATCACCTCTCCTGCTGCAAGCCCAGGAGAGGGTCAGCAGCTCCTGCCACGGTACCCACAGGTCCTGAAGGTCACCTCTGAAGCACAGGGCAGGCTGAGAAATGGGGCAGGCACTGCAGCCAGGGGTGGGCACCTTCCAGATGGCTGGTTACACCCCTGCTCGCTGCTAACAGCTGATCCACTGGAGTTTTGGGTGTTTATCTAAGGCTTACATAAACCAACTGAACTTCCTGAGCCAGATATACCCTGGATGGCCTCCTGAAATGTGGGTCAGCGGGGTGCGTGGAAGGGAAGTTACTGGGAGCCACAGATCCTGCAGGATTCATCTCTGGCAAAGCAGCACGCTCTGATTAGCCTTCTGCAGCAGCACTGTGGAGAGATTTATCCAAAATTCCCTGCATAGCTAAACAAGGAAGAGCCAGGAAGAGGGTAGAGGCTGCTTCAAATGCAACAGCAAAACGAGGAGCCAGCTAGCTGCACTTTCAGTGCTGCTCTGCAGCCAGCAAGGAAGGTTGGAAAGCAGTGTGGGGGACTCAAGCACCAAGTGCTGACAAAACCACAGAAATTCTGGAGCCCTGCTTCTGTCATTCATAACACTGAGCTCATCACAGAGTGGGAAATGCCTTTTTTTTTTTTCCCTTCTTCTTCAGGGAAATAATCTGTCCTTTGTACACCCTCTTTTTTTTTTTAAGCCCTAATGATATGATACACGAGCCAATATAAAAGTCACATCAGGGCATTTTTCACTGAGCTAAGGATGAGGTTTTGCAGCAGGTTTTTGTTCATTGAGACAGTAACTCTGCTCCTGCACACAGCATTGAGAAATTCTGCAATTGAATTCGACACATGCCCCCTTCCTCTATTTCCTTGGGTGCTCTTAGTTCTCAGATTCAAACAGAAAAACCTCACGAAATGGCACCTTCTGTGGTGGTTGATGGGCTTGTTCCTCACACAGGTAGGAGGAACTCAGTCTGTGTTAGAGGAGTCTCCCATTTTTATGTTATCTGGTGGCTCTGGAGTCTTCCCTGCACTGACTTGGTGTAAGTTGCTGTTGGCAACACAGCATGAAAGTTTTTAATGAAGGAAAGCAGGGAGAGAGATTAGTGCAATGGAATTAATGAGTGGCATGCCTCACTTCTGGATTGGTTTACCTGTGATTTCTTCAAAGACAGCATGAAATCCATCAAAGTTCTTGGATCCATCAGACTGGAAAAGGACATGGAGTGAAGAGCCAGTGCTTCGGATGGGAGGTGGCCTCTCGTTGCCACAGAATTTCTTAATTATTGGGCTGTCCAAATTGTCTCCATCCCGGACCTCCACGTAGTCATACTGGCACATGTAGTCAAATTCCAGGCTCAGCATGGAAAATCTTGGGGAGCAAGGACACACAGTCAGCCTGCACACTCCACCTGGGCACCCTGACTCTGATGCATTTGGGTATTGAGTTAAATTAGTGCCTTCCCCCCACTTAGTGAATCCCCAAGTCCCTAATCCCATGCAGTCCTCCTCACTTCATCTCCAGTTCTGCATCAGGATCCCTGGGAGCTGACTTGATTCTACACAATTATTCCAGGGGAATATTTAAGTAGCAGAACAGTGGAGTCTAAATTGAAGTACACAGTCTGTTCATAAGCATCAGGCCCCTAATTACATGACAATGTTAGAACTTTCTTCTAGGGTCAGACACCATAGGAGGTATATTTCTACAGTGACTGCTAAAAATTGTTCTGTTTACCCTAAATAAGGTTCTAAGTAGTGAAAGTAAGCCCATCAAAGACCAAGGCTCAAAGGCTGTTTATATTGTGATGGCCAGAAGTCAGCAATTAGGGGTCCAAGGAAAGCTTGGGGATGGAACAGAGGCAGAAGCAGGCAGAGAAAGAGAATCTGAAACACTGCAGCACATTCTGAAAGCAAAGCAGCAATAAATCCCCAAAGTCTGGCACTTGCCCTTCTTTTGAGGGCAGAAATAAGGGACAGGTAGTGCAGAAGGGAACTATTTAAAGCCTTTTCCCCCTGGGTCTGTCTCTAGCAGCTTTGATCCAGCCACTCTACGAGACCCTTGTTCACTAACAGCAATGTTCTGTGCTGCTGCTTGAATTCAGAAGGGCACAGGGCAGCCCAGGAGAATAGGAATGAGAATCACCAAGTGCTTCTGGAGAACAAGCAATGGCCAGGGGTGCTGGGCTCAGCCTTGCTCCAGCAGTTAGGAATGAGAAGATCTGGGCCTGGGAGAGGCCATGGGAACTGTTCAGCAGAATATTTATCCATGAAACTCATGCACTCAGTCTTTCTGAGGCCTCCCAACATCACAGACATGTATTGAGGATGACACTAAATCTCTCACATTGTCTATTCCAGTGTGGGCTTAGTGATCTGCAAAGATTGCATCTTCACACCTAAGAGATGAGACAAATTTTGGGTCTGCTGCTGGGTCTCACAGTCTGAAGAGGCAAGAGAGTACTGGAGAC